GAATATTTTACCTTGGAAAACATAGTGTATGTCCCGAACAGATGTCCCCAGTTTCGCTAGGCACTGAAGGATTTCTCCTGACTCAGAGGTCATGTCTTTCCCACCAAAGAAGTAGAACGCGGTCATGGTTTGACAAACATGGAGTTTAAATATACCAGATGGTGTACAATACTGCAGGATCTAGGTATTATATATTATTGGCCACAGCAAGTAAATTTTATGGATGACATCCTCCGCAGACTCCAAATCTAATGCGAGCGGGCGAAAAAAAAACAAGACGGGCCGAAAAAAATAAGGTTCCTACATTTTAAAATTTTGACTCAATCATTGTACAAATGGTTTTGATTCAGTGGGAACATCACATATACACAACCAGCATCACATATCGCTGCATCAAAGTAAGAAGCAAAATATTAAATCAGAGCCTTTTCTTGTCTCCTCTCTTCATGTATATCTGCAATTCACCTTCCGGCATGACAAAAGACATCTTTGCCCATTTACGGCATGTTGACCACTGTCAGAAGGCAACAAAATTTCTTGTTTTTTTCCCCCCAAATCAGGCGAAAATTAATGCGCGCGCTGATGTCATCCATAAAACTTACTTGCTGTGGCCTATATATAAAAAATATGAACATAGAAACGGCTGGACTCCATTATTTAACTATCCAGTGACGGGACGTTTCATCGCGTCTACTTTATTCCATAACTCTAAATAATAACTGATGATGGGCGATTCCATTCATGAACTTTGGCGAGGTGTGGCTGGGAAATATTTTGATGTTAGTTTACAAACTTTGAGGAAGAGGATTTTGATTACATATTTGATTATAGAACTATAAATGCGTGCATGGGGTGACGTTTTGGTAAAAACTAACTGGTACTTTTTAAAAACAGAATGCTAGAAAATCATTTACGGTTATTATGAATGTGTAACGAAAGACGAAACTACTAGATGTAGTGAGTTGGAAAAAAATGGGCCACATATCGTAAAAGAGCAGAGCAGAGTAGATGTATTAAAAAAAATCACAGCGAAAAGTTAACGATCATAAAATGCATAATCTCCTTTGTTTGGAATAATCCTAGTTGTTTGGTCAGAGAAATTTGAGAAAAATTAGAAAAGTAACATTTGCAAAGCAGATGCATAATGTTTACCTTCGCATATGGTCTGCTCTGTTAATTCTTACTCAAACACATTCACATACGATGTATATACATGTATATGGTCAGACAGGAGTCTAAATCCCTCCTGCTATAAAATTGCAACATGATGTAACCCAACACTAGTTACCATGGTGACAGACGTCTGGTTCAGGTGATTGACTTTATTTCTTTGCAGAAGTTGAAGAAACTGAGAAAAAAAAACAATGTTTTCCTTTGGTAAACATAAATATGTTTTGTATCTTTATGTTTCAAACTTTTTTGAATTCCTTTTTCGGGGCGTGGTGGTTGTAACGGTTTTCCAAAACAGCCGCATGGCATCAATCGTTGCTATCATAAACAACTCTATGGAGCGTTAACGATATGACAACGGCTGGATTTCATTAAAAGATTTTAATTTGACATCACGTGTCAACGCCTTAGCGATGGAAAAGTTATTTTCTCACAGGAGGCAGAAAAATATGACCTGCAAGCGGGACCCACTGGTAACGGAGAGGCGGAAATGCTTTGACATGTGGCGCTGACAGACAACGAAGTCGCTATTGAAAATAGCCTGGTTACCAGACTTATTTTAGCTCCCGAATCTCAGTATTCTATCCGCAAATACATGTAGAGGACAAAGACTCGGGAGCTAGAATAGGTCTGATTGCCAGGCTAGTTTGAAAACTGTAGATCTATTCTGAACGGATGTAAATTCATACGTGCCGATATATGCATGCTTATTAAAGATTACATATCTAGTACCTTATTCAATAGTTTTTGCCATACATTGTACCATTTATGGGTGTACAATGGCCATGCAATAAAGTTCTATCAGCACGTCGGCAGAAGCCATTGTGCATAGCACTTCGGCAGAACGTCTCATACAAGGTCGTATTCGCGTATATAAGGTTAATGGCTTTAAGATATCGTCTGTAAGAGGCAAAATTTTGATGCAACGTTTACCAAACATCCAACGAAAACCATGAAAATCAGGGTTTTACGCAGGCGCAGCACGTGCTAGTTCTGCCGACGTGCTAGTTCTATCTACCTACAACTTATGTCCACGGGAATATCTTATTTGCGCATGCGCGACCAGCGCACTGTCCACATATCGCTCTGCGATAAGTAAATTACGAATTAGTGCACACCCTCTCGAAATTGAGAGAGGGCGATATAAGAAGCTCCAAGTGTATGAACGAATTTGCAAACATTGTACGTTGAATACGGTGGAAGACGAAACGCATTTTATCTCAAATTGTACCCCCTATATAGTAATGAACGAAATGAACTCTTTGACGTAGCCTCCAAATTCTACCCAAACTTTCACACATATTCAAATGAAAAAACTACTCTCTTCTTCATCCGAAAACCCACAAATTACAGAAAAAGTGGGATCCTTTGTCTTCCTCTGTCTTAAAAAAACAGGCAAACCCAGTAGTTTTTACTAGTATTTCAATGTGTACTAATTATCTGTTTTTTATACCAAATGTTTCTTCTGTTCATGCAATTAGCCCTCGGGCATGAGTTTGCAATAAAGCTTTCAATACGACCGCCAAGGTCATGACCAGTGAAGTGGTGTTTGGTATTGTTGGTTGTGGTCCTGTCGTCGCCCCCATCATCAGACGATATCCACGATAAGATAGCCGCCAATGAAACCCAGACCCCTCGGGCGACACTCGCCTACCCTTCCCGACTGGGTGGTCCGTAAATCCCGAGTTTGCTTGTTCAAGTCCCCGCTGGACACTCAGGGGACGGCGGGAGATATTAGCCAGAACGGCCGCGGCTTCTGGGCAAATCAGAACGCTAAATGGCACAATTAAAGGCATCAAATGTGATTTTAGGGCAGCAAAACTGGAAATATTCTGAATAAGGCAATGTTTGTGATAAAAGAAGAAGTCAAACCCAGTTAAACTAGTACCATGTATGTAGAATATAGTATAATGTTAGACGTAGATATAGTCTCACATACCACTGTATTTTCTTTCTATGTTGTTTGTAACTGCAATTAGCCCTCGGCCCGGGCATGTATTTGGAATAAACTTTCTATCTCGATATATATTGACACATACTAGTACTGCTTCGTATTAGCACATTGAGTCAGCATTTCATAATTTGGGCTTTTAAAACTGAAGAAGCAAGCCCAAAAATGAGTCTGGGTGGTATTGTTTAAATTTTCTAGGTGCTACCCTAAAAATCAGCCAAGGACCCTTCCAGTATAACCATTTTCCGTCAGAATTTTGCGAATTTTTTGCTCCATGAAGATACATTGGGATCGTGTGGTTTCAACTCAGTATGACTAGAATATTGTCTTTGAAAAATCGGGTCTCGAAGCCCTAAAAACTGCAATTGGTGCCTTTGAATTAAGGAATTGTTACTCAAGCAACTGGATATAATTTTGGAAATTGTCAGACGTTTCAAGTACTGCATTTCGTTAGTGACGAAAATTAGCCTGAAACGTCTGACAGTTTTCAAAATTTATGTCCACTTGCTGAGTAACAATTACCGTAAGTTGTGTATCTCATTACCTGGATGTCAAACCTTCTTAGAACGCTAAATGGTTCCGGAAAGTCTAGGAAATTCTTGTGGATTTTTGCGGCAATGCATGAAAAAATGATTTGGAGGAAACAAGACACAATTATGACCTCTTGAGGTATTGAAATCAAGGCTGTCGTCCGATTATTGATATTATTTCATCTGGGTACTAGTACTTATCAAGTCTTTTTATTGTGCAATATTCAAAGATAAAGATACCCAACTTTCCCAAATATTTGGGGGAATGGGGAACACTACATAATGTTCATCAGGAAAACTCGTTTGCAAAGTGTTTTGAATTTTTATTTCGGTTTTTGTCTTGTATATATCATCTGTATCTGATGTTTTTCCTTTGTATTCCTTTTACTGTATGTATAATACTATTTCTTTGAAAATGAAAAAAAAAATCATAAAAAGATATACAGAATCACAGCAAAATGAAAAAAAAAGAATCTACGTGAACGTAACAATTTTTTTCTAATTTTTCAAATTTTTTAATTACATTTTCTTTTCGTTTATTTAAGAAACATAACATACAGAAAAAATACAAAACCTTGTGGCAATCCCCTCTAATTCGTACATACATGACGCTAACGTTAGCGTTCTTAAAATAGTGTGCTGTACTATGAAATCATGATTTAAATGCCTTTTAAATCGGTCCGGAAATATGCAGAGAGCCAGTGCAAAACAAACTGACTCCGATGGGAAATGAAACAATTAAGAACCGTAATAGCCCCAAATCAGACGACTTGTGGTCTGCTCTTGATCAATCAAGTGCGTCTCCGACTGAGTCGACAGACGAGTGAATATGATAGCCGCCTCTGATCCAAATATTTTGATAGCCGCAAACAGATCATTGCATGTGATCCGCGTGAAAATTCTGGCGCGCCAAAACTCCTCCCCGTCCATTTACACGAGATTCTTTGTGTGTGTGTGTGTGTGTGTGTGTGTGTGTGTGTGTGTGTGTGTGTGTGTGTGTGTGTGTGTGTGTGTGTGTGTGTGTGTGTGTGTGTGTGTTGTGTTGCATTTTATAGTCGCAAATTCACGTAGTCAGTCACATATGATCAGACTGATATCTTGCACATTATTTCGTTCATCAAAAGTTTCATTGGCTGACCTAACGATGGCTGCCAAACAACAATACGATATTTTTGGCTGCCGAAGCTTAAAATTATAATGAAAGCCTTTTCTTTATTCTATTATGCTTCTGACATAAAATAAAAGTTCCATACAAAGTGTTTAGACGTTTTAAAGCTTTTTATTTTTGTTGTCATGACGAAGTAAGGCACGTTTTTTTTTATGTTTCGCACTTTGCGGTTAGCTGCCGTCATCACATTTCCAGGTCAAAAAAATGGCGGCAAGTCAAAGCATGATGGCAGATCCAGAACTGTGCAAGTACCGCTCTCCCCTGACTTCCAGGTACGCCAGCGAGGAGATGGCCTACAACTTCAGCGACATGAAGAAGTTCACCACGTGGAGAAAGCTCTGGTTGTGGCTGGCTAAGGCCCAGAAGGTGAGAATGTTAGCGAGAAACCGCAGTTGTGGGAGGGGGGCGCATGTGTTGACAGGCTAGAACGTGCTCACATGAGATTTAATTTCTGCAAGCTTGTACATTTCTCACTAGTATCTATTTACAGCGTTTCTTTTTATATCTATTGGGTACAGTTAAAACGTATACAATGCTTGCCAGTGTGTGTGTATTGCGTATACAAAAGGGGGAGGGGGGCATTTCTTGGAGACATACTAGAAACAACACAGGTTGCTATTTACATAGTTCACAATGGGGAAGTCATAAGTAGTGTTTAAGTTGTAGTCACGAACACATTACGGCTTGATAAATGGGTTAGTTGTTGTTGACAGAGAAAATCAAGTACCAAAATGTTTTCAACTTCGTCTTTTCAACTTTGTGAAAGGAGATTTGGATGTTTTGCTACATACCGTTGTATGTGTTCTATGTGTCAGGACAGGTGTTGAAGTTATGGTAAATTTTCTGTGACCAGGGATATGGGTTTTCAAATTTCACTAATGACGTTATGCATAATGGTGCACGTTAATACCCATAATAATAGATAAATGGCCATTAATGCCACAATAAAATATTAAATTCATTAGGCATATTATATGACCAAAGTGAAAGGAACTTGGTATAAGTAATATTTAAAGCGACACTGGACTTGAAGGAAAGGATAAAGGATAGTAGGATAAAATCCATTTCTACATGTACTTTGGCATGTTACAGAACACGAAAAAAGCATAAAAGCTAATAACTTAAGGTAGCTGTGTAACTGTATGCCATTTTCTTTTAGGGCATCACATTTTTGCCTCGCAAATATCAGTATGCCATGGGATAGGATTGATTCAATTTAAATGATTAAAACATTAAAAAATGGCCAGGAAATTGACTTTTGAAATTTGAAGTTTTTACACCTGAAAACTTGTTTGCTGTATTGAAGTGGATATTTTGTGGTAGATAATCCTTGACAGATTGTATCAGGTTGATTAGGCATGCATGTGTTGTCTGTGATCAGGCCAGGATGTGTTGATGTTGTTTCACCTGTAAGTTAACCACTGTGGCTAGATGGTTTCCTCTCCACACATGTTGTTTTTGTTCCACTACTGCCCATTCAAGTAGCAGTCGGAAAGTTCCTTGTTTTTTCAGCTAGTCAAAACAAGGCAACATGTAGCAAAAATGCAGGTCACTAGAAATCCCATATGAGGTTGAAAAAGCACAACATACGTCTCTAGGAAAAATAATTTTATTAGACAAATTGTTATCAGTAACATTACTGTGTGATTGCAATTGTTGGAATCAGGACCATTGAAAACTAAAGGCCCATTTTGAAGTGATGAATTGGTTGCCATTTTTACAAGTACTTAGCAAATTGAACTGTATTTGTTTGAACTGTAAAGTACTTCAGTCATTTGTTGCCTCTCTTGTTGTTAGATACCAGAACGACACATGGTAAAATCCAGCAAAAACAAACATTAATTTGACACCAGATACAAAACTCAAAAGTTATTGACTCATTGCCTTTGGTAGGTATAAATACATTGTTGTTTGATCTTTCCCACTTGAAAATAGTTGAATAATGACTTGCTCAGAAGACCAAGACCCATCCACAAACAAAATCATGTAACGGCATCACTTTTTACCTGTCTAAAAACATTCAAAACAAATAAAAATGAATATGGACTTCAAATTCAATATATTCCACTTGATCCAGGGTTGGACAAGTTGTCAAAACCCCACTTGCCCTATTTGTCAAGTACTTAAGTTTTACCACTTGCTTGAACCAACTTTTCACTTGCCCAAAATAAGATAATTCTATGCATTTTTACTTGCACTGGTGAAATTATTCTATTTTTCAGAAAAAAGCACATTTAAGTTTATAATGGTGGACAAAACGAGGGTACTTAGATTTAGAGACTTGCACTGGATTTTCTGACAAAAGGGCATACTTTTAGCTTGCAACAATATAATATCTTAATGGGAAAATGATGAGTAATTTTGCTTGAAACATCGCGTCCAAAAAGTTTACTTAACAGTGCTTTTACTTGCCCTGGGCAAGTGGTCTGATCTAACCCTGTGATTTTTGCATCTTTCCTCCCACAGACTCTGGGTCTGGACATCACAGATGACCAGATCCAGGAGATGGAGGCCAACTTGACCAACATCGACTTTGACCAGGCGGCCATCGAGGAGAAGAGACGCCGTCATGATGTCATGGCTCACGTGCACACCTTCGCTATCTGCTGTCCCAAGGCTGCGCCTATTATTCACCTGGGCGCAACATCGTGCTACGTGGGAGACAATACGGTAAGTATTAAGTACATAATAGTAAGTAAGTAAAAAAAAATTGTACGGTTTTCAGTGGCAAATGCGAAGATCTTGGCAATGCCAAATCTGTCTGTATCACAGTATCAACAATTAGTCTAAAGGTCCAGTGGGCATCGTTCCACTGTACAGGTAAATAAGTAAGAGAACCTATGATCACCAGAATTTTTCACAGCGTAGGAATTGGGTACAGAAGGACAACTTTCTGCAGTATCACTGTAAACACAGTCCCAAAGACATGACATAAAGCTAAAAATACTCGTATATATGGTTGTTGATATTTAAAACAGTTGATGCCATATCACGGAACGGCACACTTTGTATTTAAACATTTTGAATGCTCCGTCAATACTGTCAGTAATGTTTTGTGTAGTATGGGTAGGATTAGAGTTTTGAGAAGTCTTTTAATTGAATCCAAGCTTGTACTTTTTCTTTCTTTTTTCACTATGTGCTGACATACTGGTGCAGGTAATTTTCAGTGTTATCTGCACCAGTAGTGCAGGTATGCAGAAAAAAGTCTTTTGAACCCTGGTAGTTGTGACTGTCACAGCAAACGTCATATTTACGTATCGTTCCGTTGGATTCACACCTTTGGTCAGCCAACCCCAACCTCCGCTCACACAGGTCCATACCACACATACCAGGTCAGACCTGGATTAACAACTTACCAACTACCCATGTGCTTCTCTCAAAGACATGATTAAAGAGTTCTTGTACCCTAAATGTTGGGGCTCATCGGGTTTAAGGGATTGTGTTTAAGACTTAACACCGGTAATTGGTGGTGCTGGAAGTGGGTGTAATGTTCTCCTAGGTGTGCTTGTTTTGGTAAGCATTTGCCAGGGCGGTGGGAGTTTCTAATTTCTCCAAACAGAGGGATTATTTTGTTGTGCATATGATTGAGCTATGCAAACATGGTGACGTAGATTACTAGTAAGGCCACACCAATTTAATTTCTTGGTTAATGGATTTTTCTAGAAAAATAATGGAGCGGGCGGGCAAAAAAAATAAAAATAAAAACAGGCCTAGGCATCCTATTATGGCCCAAAATGGTACCATAGGAGCACACACCAGGCTGGTTCAAAATTTAAACAATGTATTTTGAACTTTTAATGATACCATTGCATTGAAAGATGGAATAACTGTAACAACTAGGAAGAAAGGGATGTTTTCCACTTTCTACAGATGAGAAGTTGGTATATATTATATTTATGCTGTTACCATTGTATAAATACGTTAGGCCGCACCAAGTAATTTTTATGGATGACGTCCTCTGGAGACTCTAAATTTAATGCGAGAGCACGAAAAAAAAAAGATACTAAGGGATGACAAATGTCTTTTATTCGTCATGAAAAAAGCAATAAATCAGATAGTGCAAAGTTTACTGTTATTGACAGGATAAAGGTACTAAATTTTCTGTCAAACAATCCTGTCAACAGCCAATACCTTTCTGGTGTTGCGGGTTTTACTCTAATCTTATGATACGGTAATTCCTGATTTTTTTCACGGTTCTGTTACAATGTATGTTCACTGTTTTCACTGTCCACTCTGTATACCGTAAACTTATCATTACAGTTAACAAAAAATGTCATAATTCCTATATTTTCTTTTTCCTGCACCTGTCGCCACAGTTATATATAGTTCTGTGAACATTTTTCTCAGACTGAACTTTTGCTACTGTGAACATTTTTAGTGAATTACAGTATGCGGCACTACTGTTGTCACTCTTTGGTCATTACTACAAAATGTAAGTTACAGGAATTTCGAAGTGGAATTTCTTTTCTTTCTGGGAATAGACCAAAATCAATGCACATGCGGACATCATCCATGAAAAGTACTTGGTGTGGCCTTATATATAACATGTATATTACGTGTACATGTATGTGGAAATACTGTAATGTAGCAACATTATAGTATGGCACATAGTTTAGATGCCACTCCCCTCCCTCCCCTGTCTATGCTTTGACAGGTGTATCTACAAAGCATGCAGGTTCCTGTCTGGTCTTACCAACATCCCTTTTCCCAGGGGAATCATATACCACATGTCCAAGATGTACTGTACATGTATAGGCAGACATTGAAAGAGTTAAAAAGAAGCATCAATGTAAAGTGCAATTTGTGGATGTGTCAAATACTGATATTGCAATCCAAAATCAAAATATCGTTACTACTAGGCCAGATCAAGTAATTTTTATGGATGACATCTGTGCGCACATTGATTTTGGTCTGTTCCCAGAAAAAAAACAAGAAATTCCGCTTCTTGTAACTATGACCAAAGTCACAACAGTGCCAGAAGTCATAAGATTAACTTAAAACCCGTAACACAAAATTTGAGCACAAGAAACAACACAAGATGACAACTGCTGTTCCACTGATTTATTGCTGTTTTCATAACGAATAAAAGACTTGTTGGTTGTTACACTGTGTTCTCTCATTCAAGTCGTTTACTTACATTTGTCAACCCCTTTTCAGATTTCAAATCTAGACATCTTTTTTTTTTTCAGCCGGCCTTCTTGTTTTTGTGTTGCACTCACGCATTAGATTTAGGGTCTCCAGAGGACGTCATCCATAAAAATTACTTGGTGTGGCCTCACATGTAAAACAAGAAAGGATACTGAATGTGGTTAGCTTCTGCTGTCATATGCCCCATTCAGAAAGTACAGTAAGTAGCTTGCCCATAATTATAGTCTTCCTTTAATTGGTGGACTGATTAAGAGGGAAAATTAAGGTACCTAAAAGGCATAATTAGCCCAGCTGATGTCATTATGCCCATTGATTACTAGACCATAATATGTTCAGTGGGACAGCTAGGGTTGTTATTACAGTCAATCCATGTGTTATTTGAACCGAGGCTTAGATCAGCCTGGAGGTTTGGTACCAGCAACGCTTGAATGAAGGAATGACCGACTTCTCACCACTCCCAAACACTGTACACTTTAAGTTTAACCAAATTGGCAGCCATTCTAAGGCCTAGGAAAAAAGTTGTGTTTCCTGTTTCCCGACCGACCCTAGAAAAAACTGCGACCCTATCCTTTTCTTTTGTGTGTGAGGACCCCTGTGAGGGACATATATTTTTTTGAGCTGATCGGTCTTTTCTAGCTCCATGATCTGATACTTGAGTGATGAAACGTTGTACAATCAGTTTTCCAACATTGGCATTTGTAATAAAAGTCCTTATGCAAATTTTACTTTGTTAAAAATGAATGTATTCTATATAAGTTGGATCACTAGAGATTATCAAAGTCTAAAAAACAAAAGGAGGAAATTTTTCAGGACTGAAACTGGAAACACATTGCATTCTTTTTCCTAGGCCTAACAACGACTTCAAAGATATTTCCGAAAAAAGTTTGATCAGGTTGTTACTGAACATAAAAACATGCAAAATAAAGAGAACATTGACATTGCATTGGGCATTGTCAAGTATCGGCCTCCATGTTATGTGGCCACAGTTTTGCCCAGACAACATTGCAAGGTTGCCATTACATGCAATTTTGTTTAATATATATATTATAATATATATATACCATGGGTTTAGGTCCGGACTTACAAGTCTGGAACTGAACCTAAACCTCTGGACTTGAATCCAGACCAGATCCTAAATGTGGGTTTAGGTACACAGCACTATACATATACCATTCTGGAAATACAATCTCACACACTTCAGTAGACACATCAGCATTTTACATGATACACCCAACCACAATCCTACCATAGGACAAGGAATTTCAGGAGACAAAGTGGCTTAACGTTTGACTCTCCGGAATTCTGTCTTCCAATTCATCCCACTGTCAGCATTGTGCTCTGTTCTGTTTGAGGAATACCTGGAATTTCCCACTACAATCGTTGCTAATGACATTTCTTTTAACATGTGATTAATTTTATTTTTAGAATGATTGGGAGGCAACATAGTTAAGATTCCATCAGGTTTACTTTAAGGCCACACCAGTTTAATTTCTTGGTTAACGGATTCGCCCGCTTCATTTTTTTCTGATTTGCAAAAAAAAAAAAATCAGAATCAACTACAAAATGCTCTTATGTTGCCCTCAACAGTTCAAAATAGTCCTTTTCTTCCTAGTTGAATGTTGGTTAAATTTTGAACCAGCCTGGTGTGTTGACTTCATGGCTCCTATCGTACCATTTGGGGCCATAATATTGTAGGTCCATGCCTAGGTCTGTTTTTATTCTTTCCGCCCGCTCCATTATTTTTATAGAAAAATCTGTTAACCAAGAAATGAAATTGGTGTGGCCTAAAGGAGAGACATGAGTTTCTTCCTCAACTCTTTAGAAGTTCCAAGCATAGATGCAACAAGATTAATCTTTTATATGTTTTTGTTAATTTTTCCCCAATAATTTGTAAGTTGTGCCAAATTTTGTCCCATAATATATAGTGTTTCTGTGTAGAATAAAAGGTTCTTACGGTGGTTTTCTACTGACTAACTTAGAGTATATAATAGTGGACATACCAAAACATTGGTTTTCAATACCCATGTAGATGATTCATACCTTCCGTAATTGTATTTGATACTTATGATAGTAGAAGTTTATACAGTCTTTTCTTTTACCGTAACTACCAGAATAATTTGTTTTGAAAATGTCTTAATTACAACCACACAGAGTCTTGAGTAGGTGCATGCAGAACTTGGAGTCTTTGAAGTAAAAAAAATGTTTGTTTGTAAACCACCTTTAGGTGTAACACACCAGTTTTGTACATGTAAGTACAAGCTGCATAAGACCGGACTGTAAGGTTTGAACCACTCACACCGGGAAGGATCCCTACTCTTTTCCAAGTGCGGTGGGTTCTTTAACGTGGGTGTGGTGTGGCTCTCCCAAACACGGGACCTCCATTTAACGTCCTATCCGAGGTACGTCCCTAGCCAAAGCTAGGTAGTCATTTACACCTGAGTGAAGTGAGGAAAGTCATGTTAAGTGCCTTTCCCAAGGACACAAGATCGGTGACATGTTAGCTATAGGATTCAAACCTGAGACCTCTTGGTCCTGAGCCGAACACGCTACCGTTTACGCCACATGACCCCACAAAGTTCCCAGGCAGTGTAGTCTGGGTCATCTGCTCCAGTGGACAGAGTAATACACACCAGGATGGCTGCTGCAGGCGTGGTTCCTCCCACCCCCATGGTGGCTTATCTCCGGGCTAAAGGCCTTCAAAAAGGCTACATTTTTCCCAGGATTTCTCAAGCACATCGGCAGAACGTACTGTTAACTTTGTAGTTTATCGTGGGGTTGTGTGGCATATATAGCGGTAACGCGTTCAGCCCAGGCCTAAAAGGTCCCGGGTTCAAATCCTGCCCGGTGCCACCGATCTTGTGCCCTTTGGAAAGGCACTTTACACGACTTTCCTCACTTCACTCACTAAATGAGTACATCCTTCTGATAGGATGTCCTGTACATGTGTTTGGGAGAGCCACACCCCACGCACGTTAAAGAACCCACCACACTAATCGAAAAGAGTAGGGGACCTTCCCAGTGTGAGTGGTTCAAACATTACAGTCTGGTCTCTGGTTTGACATCTTGTTATTCACCTGTTGTATCAATCCTTCCACAAATGTGGTAAATCTGCATAAAAATAAAATTTAATAATGAAAAAATACTGCACCTGCACATGACCCAGATTTTTCAGTCTTTGTTGGAATTTTGGTCAACGTTGCATCAGAATTTTGCCTGTTGCAGACGATATATATATCTTTTCCGATATAACATTTGGAAACTACAGACGGGATATTAACCTTATATACATGAATACAACCTTATATGAGACGTTCAGCACATTGGTAGAATGTACTGCGTCTGCGCGAAACCCAGATTTTTCACAGTCTTCGTTGGATGTTTGGTCAACATTGCATCAGAATTTTGCCTGTTGCAGAAGATATCTTTTCCGACATAACATTTGGAAACTACAGACAAGATGTTAACCTTATACAAATGTATATGTGAATACAACCTTATATGAGACGTTCAGCATGTCGGTAGAACGTACTGCACCTGCACAAAACCCAGATTTTTCAGTCTTCGTTGGATGTTTGGTCAAAGTTGCATCAGAATTTTGCCTGTTGCAGATGATATCTTTTCCGACATAACGTTTGGAAGAGGGGATGTTAACTTTATATACGTGAATACAACCTTAGGGTTTGGGTTGGCGTTAGGAAGGGCATCCAGCCGTAAAAATCTTGCTTCAACAAAAAGACTTGTACTTCGTGCAAGCACGTCTAACCCCCGGTTCGGGGAAAAATGACGTTAAAACGGTTTTAAAAAAATGAGACATTCTGCCAAAGTGCTGTGTACAATACATTACAGGTTTTGTAGGTGCAGTACGTTCTGCCGACGTACTCCCTATTTCTTGACTAACACAGAAAGCCTATCGTAGATTTATTTCTGAAGAAAGATGATAAAAGTTGAATCTGGAGGCTGATACTGTGAGTTGTGATATGTATATGTTGTACTATTGATGTTTGTTGTTTTTGTGGGATTGGTTACGACTTCAGTTGAAAAATGGTAACAATGTGAATGGGTATGCACTCACCACTGTATTAAACCAATAGGATAGCACGGCCTGCCTTGTAACTTAAAGGAGTACTAACCTCCAGAAGGAAGTGGTATTTTCCGATACATCATGCTGCAATGAATACATAACTAGTCGATTTTTTACATAATTTCGCTTGTACGACTTGCGCGGCGCATGTTTCTAAAGCGATATCAATATCATTTTCCCCCATGCTGAACCACAATCGATACATCCGGGATATCTGGCTTACGCAATACTCGTACACTTAAAGTCAACATAAACATTTTTCGGTGAAAAAGGTAGGAGACAAGCTGATTATTGAGAAATGACTTGCTTTACTTTGCTTGACCTGCGGTTTAGATACTATAATATCAGGATGTCTAATGCAGTGGGCGCTAGTTTCATCCTGCGTGTTTTGATTTTCTCAACTTATTTGCATATAAGTATTAATTGAACAGATAATTAGATTACGCCACTTATGGAAAAGATAACTAGATTACGCGGTTTTTTTCATCGTCAATATTTTCGGCATAAATGAGGGGCGATAAGGACATCAAGAAGGGCAATGGTTGGTAAGATACCAAAGAACACAAAACGGCACGAATTTTTCTTATCGCCCCCGAAATGAGGTCTGTAACGTAACTTTTTCTTTAAAACATAGACACCAATGGGGTAGCGTGGTGTATTCTGGGATAGTTTTGAGGGTATTTGGAGAGTTTGTCCTGGATTCGATGCGTTTTAAGACTTGCTCGCAAAATGGGCATTTGATTGTATACTGTAAAGTAATATGCATTTTTCACTTCCTAAAATTAATGCCTGTCGGAATATAGCACCTCCTTCTGGAGGTTAGTACTCCTTTAATGCTCCAAAGATCCAAATCTTTCCCAAATTTATATGTTACAAGTTACATGTGCCTTCAACCAAAGCATTAAAGTCATAAACACGTTCTGACAGAAACAGTTCTTTTTTAGTTTCTGCTCACATACAAACCAACAAATGTTAGAAACATGTATCCTTAATAAAATCACTGGCATTGTTTTTGTAATACTCAAAGCTTAAGGAAACTGTATACTAGTACTTTGGGCTCTACATGTATTTCTGTGGCTGTCTCAATATACCAGTATTATATTATTACACTACCAAATCCTTTTTAAATGTAATTTGGTTTCATGATTTTTTTCTTGTTGTTTGTGCAGGATCTAATTGTGATGAGGGATGCCTTCGACATTATCATGCCAAAGGTGAGTTTTTACATACCGTATTTAAATCAAATCCTACCTTTACATGCTACCTGTGTCTTGGGCCTAGGGAAAAAATATTTCCTGTTTCCCGACCGACCCTACTAAAACATGCTGACCCTAGACTTTTTTGGGGTGGACCCCTGCAAGGGACATAAATTTTTCAAGCTGATCAACCTTTTCTAACTGACACCTCAGTGATAAAATGTTATACAATTGATTTTCTAACATTGACATTGAAAATACAAAATTTAAGTGTCCTCATGCAAGTTCTACTTTGTTTGATCACTAAACACTGGTCAGTTCAAATTGGGAAAAACAGAAGCAATTGGGAAACCTCAGAAATATCAAATTTCTGCCTATAAGTGTGGTATCGTCTGAAAGCTCTTTTCATCACGAAAGCAGTCATGTGAAAATTATTAGCTAGTGATGTTCATAGGCTTAGATATGACTGATTGAAAATGCATTAGACCACTGGTCTGAGGGAAATCCATGTATGGGCTATAATTTAGGCCAGGTGGGCTGTATAAACAACAAGGTGTTGATTGGCCCAGACCATTGTGGTCTTGGCCCTGGCCAGACTGGACTTCACACCTCTAATCACCTGACCCATTGAACCCAGGTCAGGCCAGTGGTCTGACAAGCAAGGTGTGATGACTCATTATGCGAGTGCTTTGTTCAGTGTGGAATGACCAATTATAACTCATTTGCATTGGAGTGGGCTACTGCTAGGCCACTGTGTTCTATGCATAACCAAGTGTGGTCTGTGTGTTGTTCACATGGTCCAGCCAATAGACCACTGGCCTGGGCAACTTTCAAAACGGAATATCTTCATAATGTTACATGTTATGACCAAATTAAAGACATCATGATGCAGGGGAAATCATGCTCTTTCCAATGACATGTAAAAGTGAACTGTATCTTCAGTAGAAAAAAAGTTAGAAAATTGGATGACCAAGATGGCCGCCTTGAAATCGGGAAACTGAACTTCCCAATTTGAACTGACCAGTGTTACTATATGACTGACTGTGTATACATGTAGACATCACCAAAGTCTAAAAAAAAAAAGAAAGAAAAAAAGATAGGCCTACCTACTGACCCTAATTTTTCAGGACTGAAGCAACAAAAATACAACTTTTTTTCCCTAGGCCTTGCTAATGCTAGTACTGGTTGTGACTGTACATGTATGTTTGTGATATCTGTACCCGTGGGAAACTTACGCAGTTTGCTTTCTCTTCCTTCATTTGGGAAAAAACAGTTCTGCATTTCAACTTCATATTCACTTGACCGTTGTGGTAAACAAAATATTTAGGTTCTGGGAACTTGATTCCTTCCCACACAAGTATAGCAGTGAAACAAAACATTTATAAATACTGAGTATATATTTGTTTATGTCAATTGTAATTTGTACATCTATATTTCTACATAGATATGTTCGATTCAATACTTTTTGTACCATGTATACGATTGCAGCAAAGTTTTAGTAGTATAGACTTTTAGGTACAGACTGAAGAAATATATGGGCAATCCAAGGATATAGGTACAAAGAGTATGGGAGAAACATCTCAACATTCCAAGAAAGTCTCACGTTTCTTAAAGAAAGGTGCCGCGTCTTCTCCCATGCCGTTTTATTTGAAAACGGTGTAAAATTATCCGGTGTTGGGTTCTGGGAGAACTGCGCGCGCTCAAGAGTTTGTTGTGCACCTGTGTTCTGGGTCAGATGTCAATCATACAAAGCCGTGATCCTCTCTGATGTCTCCATGGAGATGACCTGACCCCTCTCTGGTAGATGTAGGTGGATTTAGTAAACTTGTTTTACAGCAAACTGTACATGTATGTAGATTGTGGACCACACATAGAGAGGCATATGTCCTACACTACAAGCAGGGTTCTAGGTAGCGCGAAGTAGCGTGGGGCCCCCTACGCTATGATTTTCACCCCCTACGCTATAATTTTGACCCCCTACGCTAAATTTTCAATACAGCATACGGCATAGGGGCATTGTGACTGTATTTCTTTGTTCAAGAATGCCAGATCAAATGTGAAAAATTACCAATCAAGGATACATTGTACACACCTTAGAAATAACATTTTTCCCTTTGGGTATCCCTCAAATGGCCCCCTTTTTAGCTCAATTTTTTAAAAGCTCCGCCCCATCCTCCCTCTCGGTCGCTTCGCTACCTTGACATGCGGCCAGTACCACTTCGCTAAAATTAAATCCTAGCTAGAACCCTGAAAAGTATCAACCATTGTGACCTGAAAGACTGAGATATATTTCATCAGTGACAAAACAAATCAGACAACGAAATTACGGTAAAAACTACACAACATGAAAGTCAGCATTGAAAAAAAAAGTGTTTTTTCTTGATTTAAGTTTTTTTTGTGAGTTCAAATAAAATTAAAGATGATTCAGAAATGAAGTTATTAGTGACAAATGCATGATGCCAAAAAAAGCAACTGGACATGATTTTGGAAAGGGTCAGACATTTCAGGTATCATCCACTAGCTTTCTTTAGTGACACTGGCATACCTTATTACCTGGATGTCTAACCTTCATTAATGTCACAAATACATAGACAAAAAAAAGTGTTGAAAATATGAAAATAATAGTAATTGTGAATGTTTCAGCTGGCCCGCTGTATCCAGCGTCTGTCATTGTTTGCAGAGCAGTACAGGAGTCAACCCTGTCTGGGGTTCACCCACTACCAGTAAGTCCCTTCAACTCTAATTGTCTTTGAAACAAACATTGTGTGCGCATATGTGTCTGAAACTTCCGTGAATATAGAGATTTTCTTTTACACAACTCTGAACTGAACAACTCTTACCTTGCTTACGTTTCGGTGTCTATCTGACACCTTCCTCAGAGCTTCTGACTGAAGTTCTGCTTCTCACCGCTATATGTAGCCAATGTAGGTGCTGTTTTTTGTCTGTGTCTAATAGACAATGAAACGTATACTAAGCATTACTAGTTGTGTGAAAGGAAATCCCAATATCCTAAGTATATTTTACCATGAAATTATTTTCAGAATTTCTGTGAATGTTCAATTGTACATGTATGTAGAGGCTGGATTCATTTCATCAACTCACTCCAGTGTTATGAAATAAAGACTAAACTTTCTTTCCTACACTGGAATGAATTGGGACTTACTCCAAATTTTCGGTTGACTCCATCAACCTTGTTCACGGAATGGACCCCGTCTACTCTTGGAACGTGACGTCAGAGACACGTGACCGTAGTAGCGGGTCAACCAGATAACTTGTGCCGTCCCCCATCTCTGTTCTGTGAGCTCTGTAAATTACTAGAATGCCTCCTTCACTCCTCTTGCAAAGAAGTCTGATTCAGAATCAAGGATTTTAACCCCTTCTAAAGATACTGAGTGCCCAGGAGATTCAATATGAATGTGTCGCGAGACCTGAGAAAGTGTCACATCGGTGTTGTTTTGAACTATACACTTGTACTGTACATTACAATTGAGTAACTCAGTAAAACCTTGAATGTTGTTTCCCCTGCAGACCAGCCCAGCTGACCACAGTTGGAAAGCGAGCCTGTCTGTGGCTACAGGACCTGTGTATGGACCTGAGGAACATGGACAGGGGACGGAACGAACTCAGGTTTAGGGGAGTCAAGGGGACCACCGGCACACAGGTCAGTATCTGTACCATGTGCTGTGTACCGGTTCGCTGGAACTAGTTCCGGACTTGTAAAAATGTTTAGGTTCAAGTCCAAAAAAAACTGAACGTCTGGAACTTAGTTCTGGACTTCCAAAAAACAAATCGTGCCACATTCTCCTTTTTGTGCTAAACCAAATCTTCAATAGTCAAAAATGTGCTCTGAAAAATAAAGGAAAACATTGCCATTGGGCATCATCAAGTGTTGGCCTCTATCAACTTGAAGTCAACCTTATTTCTTCTGTTCACTCCCAGGCGCACTATAATTTCAGAGTTAGACAGGAAATTTGGGGGGGACTTTTCTGGATCCAAAAGCCGGGACGTGTGCCTAATAAACAAAAGAGGGGCTGACATTCTGATGTTGATTATTTTTCTATTGTCCCAAAAATGTTCCAAAGTGTCTTTTTAGGTGTCCCAGCCTAAATTTTAGTGGTCAGTGGCCATTGGACCACCTTTAATTTTGAGCCCTGTCTACCTCGACTACCAGTCTATCTGAGTCAGAAGTTTAAGGTTGAATAGACAACAGTTATGTGAGGTCATGTCCAGGTTATTTTACAGATGAGATGTGAAAACTTGTCTGGCATTTTTTTCTGACATGTAAGCTAAGATTTATGTTGGCATCACTGCCGAAAGACTTATTGTCATAATAAGATAAGATAAACTTTTCTAATTTAGTATAATGGTTGGTATTGTGTGGTATACTTTGTTATGCCCTGGAGGTACAGTGTATTTGTGGGTGGGCCCTGTCAGTTGAACTACCATAAAAGATCTCTATTACAGACTGATAATGCTTAATTTTTTGCTGTCTCAAACCTAGTATAAAAGAGGATAATTCTGTCTCGTATAGATTCTTTATTGACACAACAAAAAAGTACAGGGACTTTTGTATGGTCTTGTACAACTAAAGATCTAACAAATAAAGCTAAATAGTATTACACGTTTGGATGACGTCATCTTACATACAGAGTATATGTACATGTATGCGGTAAAAATAAAGGTTTAACTATTCTCTAACATGTGGTCTCTAAGATTGAAACATTATTTTCTTGAATGTATTTTCCTATTCAAACACTGTATTGGTTATCACCCCTTAGAATGTAATTATGGTCATTGATTTTTAAAATGATCGATGCCATATTGCAGAACAGCACACTTTTAGTGTATTTGAACACTGTCATCTTTTGTGCTGACCATGTGCTCTAAATTCTTTTTTCACTAATATCTATTAATAATACCATTTTTCCTGATACTGTCACTAATATCTATACCATTTTTCATGATACTTTTTCTATCAAAATCTTGCTTTTAATACTTTTTGCCCCTAAAAGAATTTACGAAAGTTATGATACACTAACTTGGATATGGCATTGATCATTCAGTGATATGACAATGACCACATACAAGACAAAAGGCATGAGAGAGATACTAGTAGTTGATTCATTACTTACAAGTATGTTGTTTATGTCCCCAGGCCAGTTTCTTGGAGCTGTTTGAAGGAAACCATGATAAGGTAGAACTGTTGGACAGGATGGTCATGGAACTCGCTGGATTCAAGAAGTAAGTTTCACCAAAATACTTTTTAAGAACTTGATCCTGGAAATGCACACAAAAATTGCTGCTTTTGTTGCATTGTGAAGATTAGTAATAGTTTTTGACTCAGAGGTTATAATTTCAAGTATCACCAAGGTTAAGTTATCTAAACACAGGCATTTTACTGAATGTCGTTAACCATCATCCCTGCTTAAGTTGGGGATGGTATTATTAGTTGAATGCTGCAGGAAATATGTTTTAGAAATACTGTTATTAACTTTATGTTCACGGTACCAAAAGTTTGTGGTCAGAGAAAAATAGAGGTGTTCATGGAACTATATTATGTTCAGGGTGGTGACAGGTGCAGGAAAAAGAAAGTCAGTAAATTATTTGTTAACGGTAATGATAAGTTCACTGTACAAAAGTGACTGTAAAAACTGTGAAAGAAGACCATGAAAATATTAGGAATTATAGTACTGTATCAGGAATTACAGTGACGTTTGCTTAATTTCTAATGTACCTTTCCTCCGATATTTTCTGTCCACAGAACATACCTGGTGACAGGGCAGACCTACAGTAGGAAGGTGGACTATGAAGTGTTACAGGCTCTCAGTGGACTGGGAGCCTCTGTACACAAGGTGGGGATTTCTGTCACTGTGTTTCATTTTTTATCTTTAAGTGCAGTCTTGTACTTACTCCCACCAATGCCTCAGCCACCTCCAGTTTTGCTAGTTTCACAGCTCAATTTTAGATATTGAAATCCTGAAAAGTTACTGCAAAAACTTATGTTTACGCTTCAACATTGACATGACATCATATGAGTTTGTGTTTTCGTTATGACTAGCATCCTTAGTTACCCTTCACCCTGCTAAGGTAGACATTTTGCACCAAATTTCTATTGGTTATGGGGTAAATTGATTAAGCAGCAGGGAGAAGGTTTAAAATATACCACACCTGTATCTGTATCTGTACAGCCGGTATAACAACTTTTCAGCGTAACACACCAGCTTCACATACGTACAGGCACGTGGCACGGCGGCAACTAGCTACATATACTCGAAACAACCTGTTACATCCAATCTTTGCACATCTACATGTACATTGTACTTGTGTAATGCAGGATTTGTTTTGTATAGTGACAATGCCCCAACTGTACTTGGTGACAGTGAGTTCCATTCTATGATAATTCTTTTATCAATATTGAGTTTTGAACACCTCAATTCTTGGTTGATAATTCTGATACTTGAAGGCATGACTGTTTCTTTTTTTTTCTGGTATCAGATCTGTACAGACATCCGTCTGCTGGCTAACATGAAGGAGATAGAGGAGCCATTTGAGCGGGATCAGATCGGTTCCAGCGCCATGCCGTACAAGAGGAACCCCATGCGGAGTGAGCGGTGCTGTAGTCTGGCCAGACACCTCATGACCCTCTGTCTGGACCCCCTGCAGACTGCTGCTGTCCAGTGGTTCGAGAGGACGCTGGACGACAGTGCCAACAGGTATCATAAAATGTATAGAATTATGTAGAATTAGGTCACGGCAATTTAATCTGTTGGTTTTCTTTTGGTTTTCGTTGTTTTTTTTTCAGAAAAAATATGAAGCAACAGAGCGAAAAAAAAATAAAAATAAAAACAGGTCTAGGCATTCTTTTATAGCCCCAAATGCAATGATAGGAGCCATGAAGTCAACACAAAAGGCTGGATTAATATTTAAACCATGAATTTTGAACTTTTAATCAAACCACTGCATTGAAAGATAGAAAAACTGTAACAAGTAGGAAGAAAAGGACTTTCCTCAATGGTTAGGGTTAGGGGCAAAATATAAGCTTTTTATACTCACCAGCAATCCAACTACATGTACCTTACTGTTTCAGATACTGATGAAACTGATGTACTGCTAAAGCTTAACAATGACCTGCCACAATCCTTGCAGTAGAAATATGTATGTAGTCAACTAATAGTATATAATTATATAGGCCTTTAAAGAGATTAAAGTTTGAGCTACCTAACGGCTTACTTAAACACGTAGCAGCTTACTTTTGAACTGCAGAATACAAACATGTAAAACTATGCTGCCTTGATGATGTTTTCACTGCGATGAGTGTTTTTCCAGTAGGAGTTGTTTATACTGTATTTGTGTGTCCTTCAGACGAATCTGCCTGCCTGAGGCCTTCCTGACAGCTGACATCCTCCTCAGTACACTACAGAATATCTGTGAGGGGTTGGTGGTCTACCCTAAGGTATGTCCTCAGTACACTACAGAATATCTGTGAGGGGTTGGTGGTCTACCCTAAGGTATGTCCTCAGTACACTACAGAATATCTGTGAGGGGTTGGTGGTCTACCCTAAGGTATGTCCTCAGTACACTACAGAATATCTGTGAGGGGTTGGTGGTCCACCCTAAGGTATGTCCTCAGTACACTACAGAATATCTGTGAGGGGTTGGTGGTCTATCCTAAGGTATGTTCTCAGTACACTACACTAAGGTATGTTCATCACTTCTGTATCTGTATAGCCGGTATAACCGCCCTTCGGCATAACACACCAGCTTCTGTATCTGTATAGCCGGTATAACCGCCCTTCGGCGTAACACACCAGCTTCTGTATCTGTATAGCCGGTATAACCGCCCTTCGGCGTAACACACCAGCTTCTGTATCTGTATAGCCGGTATAACCGCCCTTCGGCGTAACACACCAGCTTCGCAGGCACATGGCGCGGCGGCATCTAGCTATATCACACCGAATGACTTGTTACACTAAATCTTTGGACATTTGATTGCAGGAGTTATTTAAAGCTTTCTAGTGATGATGCCCCAACAGTGCTTGGTGGCAAAGAGTTCCACTCAACGATAGGTCTGGGAAAATATGAGTTTTTGAACACCTCGAGTTTTTATACTGCTATAGGAAACCCTAAGTCACCACCTTTGTTTCATTTCAGGTTATAGAGCGTCACATCAAGCAGGAACTTCCCTTCATGGCATCAGAAAACATCATCATGGCTATGGTCAAAGCTGGTGCAAACAGACAGGTAAGGGCTGCAACTTTCCTCACAATTACATGTATAACTGCATTTAGTTATGTCAGTCTGGAGTCTTTCTGTAGTCTTGCTACCATGTTGTCTTGCCAGACCATCAGACTAGTCTACTGTAGCCTTTGTTTTAAGTCAGCTTGCATATGGTAGCATAATTGAGCTTAAAAAAGGAAATTCATCTTCAAAATGGTGATACTCAGGAAATATATAATTGCATTTTGTAGTCATTACAGTTTCACTGCAACTTTCTGTTAACTGTTGAATTTCATCTCTTATAACTGTGTGCTATACTCATGTGAATAGTTTCATCAGGTTGGTAAGTCACTGAATGACTCGTTATTCAGTGTTTTACAGAACCAAGTGTTTTATCCAGTGTAACTAAGTGTTTTATTCAGCCAAATACTGGATAAAACACTTGGTCGTGTAAAACAAAGAGTCTCTTAATTCTGTTTGCTAAGGCTACACCAATTTAATTTGTTGGTTAACGGATTTTTCTAGAAAAATAATGGAGCCGGGGGAAAAAAATAAAATAAAAACAGGCCTAGGCATCCTATTATGGCCCAAAATGGTACATGTATGATAGGAGCCATGAAGTCAACACTCCAAGCTATTTCAAAATTTAAACAATGAATTTTGAACTTTTAATGATACATGTACCACTTCATTGGAAGATGGAATAACTGTAACAACTAGGATGAAAAAGGACTGTTTTCAACTATTCAGGGCAAAATAAGAGCATTTTGCAGTTGATTCTGAATTTTTATTTTTTTGCAAATCAGAAAAAATGAAGCGGGCGAATCCGTTAATCAAGAAATTAAATTGGTGTAGCCTATAGTAAGTACAATGTACATTGTATACTACAATCATGTAGCCTTCAAATCTAACCGAGTATTGTTCTCCCCCTGCAGGAGTGCCATGAACAGATCCGTGTGTTGTCCCACCAGGCAGGGTCTGTGGTGAAACAGGAGGGGGGAGACAACGATCTCATCCAGCGCATCAAGAGTACCCCGTACTTCTCACCTGTACATAGCCAGCTGGAACACCTGCTGGACCCCACAACATTCGTGGGCAGGGCACCTCAACAGGTAGGCTTTTGCTTCTATCTGTTAGGCCATGTTGATTTGATTATATGGATGACATCTGTGTGTGCATGAATTTTCAGCCGTTTCCAAAAAAAAAAAAACCATACTGTAAATCAGTTCTTACAAAACAGTTGCAAAATGAGCAAATATATACCGTAGGTTGAAAAAAAAACACATTGGAAAACGATTCCAATGTCGTAGAAATCAAACGAAAAAGACAAAAATGTAAAGAAGTAAATTTGAAGACTAATTATTCGCCAAACCATACTTTGTGTCATTTGTTCAACTTTGAAAACCACGGAGATTTCATAATGAAAGCAACTTTTTTTGGCCAAACTTTTTTTTTTATTTGCACGCTCGCATCAGTTTTGGGGTTCCCAGAGGACGTCATCCATATATATTCAAATCAACATGACCTAACCATCATCATCATCCACTGTATTCTGCATCAGTCTGTAGTAGTCATATGAAAACATCCTGCAGCTGCATTCAGTCTTTCTTCATCTTCTTCCATTGTGTCTTCTGTCTTGCGAGCTCCTTTAGCTCTTGGAGTTTCTTTTCTGTTACTAACAATACCATTCGGGGCTTGAAATTCATTTTTGTGCACCTAAAAAATTAGGTGCACAAAAAATTTCTTGGGTGCACCATATGAAACAAAACCTAATTGCAGGTCTTACTGCTCCTCTTCTGAGCTTGAATCTAAAATGAGAGCTAACTTCAAAATCTGAAACATTACTACAACAAAGATTTTATTATTTTTCTGATACTAACTTAGAGATCAAGAATATCCGACATATATTTGTATCTATTATACACTTCTAATGTTAAAAATTCTTACAAAAATATTTGGGTGCACCAGTGCACCCACAGAAAAAAATTGGGTGCACAGCTCCAATTTTGGGTGCACTAAGGTATTTCGAGTCCTGATAATGTAATTAGCTATATATATAGTATATGTAGCTGTGAAGAAAGCATTATAGGACCCTCCATAGTCGTGATTTGCATATAGGAATATATTTGTATCAAGCCATGCATATATGCATGTAACAATACTGATACAGTATCTAATGTAGTTAAACCTCTGTTGGCATATATTCTGTATGTCGTTTGAATTTGCAGAGTACATGACATTGTGTATTCTGTAAGTAGGATGACTTAACATATTATATGTTTGGTTTTGTTCAGTCTTAGTTGTAGAAGACCATACGAATGTCCCAGTACTTTTGTTGAGTCAATTAAGAATCTTTGAAAGCTTCTAAGAATGCACCATTTTAATGTTATTTATTAATAAGTCAATGTTTCTGTGACTGTGTAATATACATGTACATGCTAATGAAACCAAATAGTGACTGAGTGTGAGTGTATACCTTAATACTGTACACTTGTATCTGGCCATTGTGTACAATCATGTACATGGCATTTAATGCTTAGTAGGGGACTGGCCCTCTTGCAGACTGTGTGCGTACTGCAGTACATTGTATATGCCACTTGTTGATTGAAAGTGTTATGACTGAATTTTCATAGCTGACCATTTTTGTTTTGTTTTCTTTACAGGTTGAAAAGTTCCTTGAGGAAGAAGTGAAACCACTCCTGAAGCCTTTCTCTCATCAGATGAGTGAAATATCAAGCCTGGAACTCTGATAGAAGATCTCTCTATGGATGTCGAGTATAAAAAAAGTTTGAATCATGTATACTTAATATGTTTTTCCCTGGAATGTTGTTGACTTTAATATCAGACTACATGTCTATAAAGGATGTGCAAGAACAAATCATGAAAGGAAAGTATTGCATGATAAAGAAATAAAAGGCATGTATCACAGCAATGTTTTTTTTTGCGAATAGGAATAGTAGCTGCAATACTCAAAAATGTTTCTGCATGTGTTGATAAGCACTACACAACTTTACTTCAAAGCACTTCATAACAAAAAGGTCTGTTTTATTTAGTTATAACTGTTACAGTAGCACTTATACAGTCCTTTGCACTTTTTTATGCATTCTGGGTGTTGACTTCAAGTTTGATAAACACAGTGAAGTACACTTGTCACAAAATATGAGCAGAATGTATTTTTGTCCTCCAAACATATTTTTATTACATGTACATTTGACAAAAATATTTAGAGTTAGCAGTGGACTTTAATAGTTTACAAAGCTACATGTACAAAGTAGCTGTTTAGAGATGTTGACCGTCACCAAATAAGAAAAGAACCAAGTTGAACCCTTACATATACAAAATGTAGCACTTAACTTTTTCACTGAGTGATATTTGAAAACTTAAGATGTGCTATCAAGTGACAGTTCTTAAGGTTTGCTTTTTTGTGCTCTCTGTTTTTTTTTACTGAATTATGTCTATATAATACATGATTGTTGTTCTATGAAAGTCCATATAGTCTGAGCAGTGCGTCTGGTTGTGGGTCTCTTCCTCGGAATTGTCTGAAGACATCTTTAGGGTGGGTTCCTCCTCCAAGACCAAGAATGGTTTCTCTGAATCTGCATGAAACATGTGAAGATCACAAGTGAGGAAAGTACACAATAAACATGTCATAGAATCTATTCTGACTGAAAATGCTGAATGAAAGAAAGTATTGACCAATTAGATGGAGTTAAGATTATCTTCTAGCTCACCAGTCTCCTCTGGATTAATAAATACCCTTAAAACACATTATGTGACACTGTATTCTTTACCTTACTTTGTCTCAATGTTAACAATCCTGTCTTAAGCGCTTGTCACATTAGCTACATTCACGAATTGGTGAGGGAATGGCCTCCCGAACGATAGCCAAACGCCCACCGACCACCGAGTGGGTTGAATGTTTCTAAATATTTCAAACATTCGTGGAGCGTTTGGGAGGTATGAGCAAATGTTGGTGTTAGTCCGCAAGTCAGCAAAACACAAGGCAACCATCTGTAAGTAAGTCAGCAGTTTTCGGGGTGTGTTAAGGAATAAATTTGACTCCAATTTAAGTCAAATTCGTTTCCAATAGAAAGATAGGTGTGGCCTAAATCTGGTCAGAGTGTTCAAGAACGTCATCCGAACCGGTTTTTTTTTAATGAACCTGAAACTAGATTTGGCCACACCAATTTAATTTGTTGGTTCTCGGATTCACCTCTTCATTTTTTTCTGATTTGCAAAAAAAAAAAAGATTCTGGTTCTGAATCAACTCAAAAATGCTCATAATTTGCCCCCAACAGTTGAGAAAATTCCTTTTCTTCCTAGTTGTTACAGTTTTTTTCCATCTATCAATGCAGTGGTTTGATTAAAAGTTCAAAATTTATTCTTTAAATTTTAACCCAGCCTTTTTCGTTGACTTCATGGCTCATATTTTGTGGCGTCGGGTGGTGTAGTGGATAGAGCAATCGACTATGAACCGGGAGACCCGGGTTCGATTCCGAGTCGTACCCGGTACATGTCTGAACATGCGCCCCGACGTTGTGCCCTTGGGAAAGGCACTTTACACGACTTTCCTCACTCCACCCAGGTGTGAATGGGTACCTAACTTCGGTTGGGGAAAGTCGTATTGAGGTCACCTTGTAGCGCCGAATGGCAGCCGCACAGACCCTTGCGACAGTTCCACAAAAAATGATTGTGGAACAAATAATATGTGTATCATGTGTATTATTTGATTGTTGTAATTATTGTGATTTGTATTGATTATGTGATACCCTGCATCAATTCAGCCGTATACAGGCTGCGACTGCACGGGTACTGTTTGGACAATAAAAACCATTTATTATTATTATTATATTATAGCATTTGGGGCTATAATAGGATGCCTAGACCTGTTTTTATTTTTATTTTTTTTCGCCCTGTCGCTTCATATTTTTCCTGAAAAAATCCGAGAACCAACAAATTAAATTGGTGTGGCCTTTGGGGAAAGATTGTGAATGTGTGACAGCGTCTTAACTAATTATAAGCCAGATATTACTTCAATCTGAATATTATCCTGTGACTTGTTCATGTAGTAACCAACAGTGTTTTACCTTTTCCCAATATCAGCCAGTTTGTCCCTATTTTCGAGTCCAGCCTCCTCGAAAGCTCCGAATGCGTCGACAGCCATGACCTCAGCCCACTTGTAGGAGTAGTACCCCGCCGCGTAGCCGCCGCCAAACAGGTGCTGGAAGGAGCAGGGGAACCTGTCCTCTGGCAGTGGGTGCAGGACTGTGTACTCCGCCGCTACTCTGTCCATAACAGTCTGCCACGGGTCGGAACTGTAGGAACAGTTTTGGTTTGAACCAAATCATTCTTTATTAGTGATGCATACCTAAACCCAATTTCAGGTTCAGGTCCGGATTCAAGTCCAGAGGTTTAGGTTCCCATGGCATACACAAAATTGCATGTTGGCAACCTTGCAGTGTTGTCTGGGTGAAACTTTGGCCACATAACATGGAGGCCGGTACTTGACGATGCCCGATGGCAATGTTTTCTTCATTTTGCAGCAAAGATTTTACAATCTACAGAAGGTTTTAGGTGGTTTGGAAAGAAAAGGGGTATGTGAAATGGTCTTTTATGGTAATAAGTCCGGACTCGGTTCTTGACTTTTAGGTTTTTTTGGACTTGAACCTAAACATTTTTTAAGTCCGGATCCAAGTCCAGTGAACCGGTATGCAGCACTATTCTTTATTCATGAGAAGCTCAAATCAGTATGCAAACCACTTTTATAGCACCTGTACCACAAGCAGACATTATATATCAAAGTTTACAAAATGTACCTCAATTAAAGTACTTTTAAATCTATCTAAGTATACACATATTTTACACATACATGGTACATAAAAACATAGTTTAAGTGTAAGAGCTTAACTCCTGAAGAAGTTGGCATTCATTTCTGTCTGTGCACTGCACTGAAATCGAAAGCTCATCTCCGTTGGTACATTTCATAATGAAGTTAGTATTTTTGTACACAAGGCTTAAGTAAAAAAAGTTAATATACATTATAATTATATATAATATAGTTTACATGACACACATACCTAGTATGGAGTTCCATATCCAGGGCACTGAAATATAACTGTCTCAACATCCCGGACCCAGCCATGTATTTGCGAGCTGGAAAATATAATATTCATCATTATAATGTGTATAAAACAGTATTACATGTATATACACTGCAAAAACACAATACAAGAGTAGACCATACATGTACTTTTGTATGGTACATGTAAATGTTGGATGCAGGGTTTTCTTATTGAATGTGTAAACTCACCATCCACAAGTTTGTTAAACAGGTCCCTCGGTAAGGTGTCCCCTGTCTGGTAATGTCCACTGATGTGCTGCATGGTGTCCCAGTCATATACCCAGTTCTCCATGAACTGAGAAGGCACCTCCACTGCATCCCACTCTACATTGTTTATCCCAGCCGCATCGTGATAGGGAACGTTGGTCAGCATGTGTTGGAGTCCATGGCCAAACTGGAGGACAGTGGAATGGGATTTAGTCTGACTGACAACCTTCTCCCTGCTATCTTACCCCTTAGAGCATGTCTGACTCAGCAGAACGTACTGCACCTGCACAAAACCCATAATGTATTATGCATAGCACTTTGGCAGATTACGTCTCATATAAGGTCATATTCGCACATTTAAGGTTAACATCCCGTCTGTAGTTTCCAAATGTTATGTCGGAAAAGATATCAGGCAACAGGCAAAATTCTGATGCAACGTTGACCAAACATCCAATGAAAACCGTGAAAAATCGGGATTTCGCGCAGGCCCAGTACGTTCTGCCAACCTGCTACCCCAGGCCTGTAATACATGTAGCCAATACAGTTTTGGTGTCAGTGCAGAGAATGTTACAGGCTGTTCAGGGAGCCAACTAACAAAATAAAACTACTTAGTGATACATGTTTTGAACTACAGTAATATATGTTATTATAGTTTCTGACATTTTGAACCAGTCTGGAAAACTGGCATTGTATTGTCAAATGACTAGAACTTTCGTAGAGTGGAAGTCGCTGCCACCAAGTACAGTTGGGGCATCATCACTATTCAATTTTAAACAATTAAACACTAGAATGATGTTCAAAGACTAGGTGTAACAGGTTGTTCAGTGTAGTGTAGCTAGCTGCCGCCACGCCGTGTGCTTGCGAAGCTGGTGTGTTATTGTCAAAGGTTATACCGGCTGTAAAATAATTTAAATGTAACTGTTACTAAATAAATACACAGTTACTTCAAGTGACATACAAATCAGTAATGGATTTTTGCAATACATAATATTTGAATGACACCTTTTCCTCACTGAACTACGTATCATTTACAATTGCTGACCTCGTGAAACAATGTCTCCACCTCCCGGAAGTTCATGAGAGAAGGTTTGTCTCCGACCGGTGGACTCTGGTTACACACCAGGTAAGCTACAGGCTTGGTCTGCATCACCAGGCTTCTTCCTGCAGGAAATACAGCAATCAAAGGTGGGATAAAACATCTCTAGATCTAGAATTCTAGTTGAGAAACTACATATAAAACACTAGGCCATAGCCCTTATGCTACATGTAGATTAGTGCTTTATTCAGCTGATGTTTCAGTGCCTGTCTCTGTCATCTTCCTCAGGGGAATTCTGAAATGGTTCACATTGCTTGGTTGTGTATAAAAAGAGTCTTTACTTGGTGACCAATCTGATGAAACTGTTCACTGATGGATCCAATCTATTCACTATTTGATATCATTGCAAATAGCATCATCATTCCCATTACATGCTGATAGATGGGCAAAATTTGTCAATGAAATCAATTCAGGTTGTCCCTGGACAAAATTATTATGATTGAATCCCAGAGAAATGGGAGAAAATCTGAAGGAACAGACAAGTATCCTACCGAGTGCTGAGTCCATCCATGCTCCACCTCTCTTCTCATGTGGGCGGGAGTATGGGTCCAGGAAGAAGGAGGCGATGTGGTCACCTGGGGGGAGATAGGCAGGAGTTTGAACACTTCGGACAATCAGGCCACACCAATTTAATTTGTTGGTTCTTGGATTCGCCTCTTCATTTTTTTCTGATTTGCAAAAAAAAAAAAAAAAAGATTCTGGTTCTGAATCAACTCAAAAATGCTCATATTTTGCCCCCAACAGTTGAGGAAATTCCTTTTCTTCCTAGTTGTTACAGTTTTTTCCATCTATCAAGGCAGTGGTTTGATTAAAAGTTCAAAATTTGTACTTTAAATTTTAACCCAGCCTTTTTTGTTGACTTCTTGGCTCATATTGTAGCATTTGGGGCTATAATAGGATGCCTAGACCTGTTTTTATTTTTATTTTTTTTCGCCCTGTCGCTTCATATTTTTTCTGAAAAAATCCGAGAACCAACAAATTAAATTGGTGTGGCCTCAGGATTCAATCCTGATACATGTATGTATGAATCATCATGATGGTGATCATATCTGTTATGATCAGATTTGATCACTATCATGATGATTGTAGATCTGAATTATTCCGTAAGACTATTACCATTTTAAAGATACAAACAATGTAACATCACTTTTAATAGTCTTGATCCTAAATTAGTATAGACTCAGTTCAAGAAGACTATGCTAATCACATGTAGCTTGATACAACACAATTTCACTTTACTGGATCTGCACTCATCATAATTATAACAAGGGAAATCGTAGATTTCAAACCTCCGGGTTTTTTCGTGTTCTATTGGTTTAGGTTATTTGTTTGTGTGTAGTATGAAAGTTATGTGCGTAATATGTTTGTATGTGTTTGATGGCTACTGACGGTTGGTTCGGTATGGACTGTTGATTAACGTGTCTCACAGTCTGACAGCCTGCACCGTCACCCGCGCCATTACCCCCGCCGTCATCCCGCGCCGTCATTGCTGCGCCGTCACCCAAAATTTTTATCGGAACCAGACACCCCTCTGTTTGACCCCTTTTGAATGCTAAGACCCAAAACTGCAACCGCCCCATTCCTTAACAACATGGTAATTACCATTTTCAGCATGGCGGGGGTGTCCGGAGCACTTAAAAACCTTTTATTTCGACGCCCATAAACACATATGCAACTAGAGTTCCCCGATCTCATACCTTCGCCAAATGATGTTAATCTTTATGACTGACAAATTATACATTAGATTATTCCCCCTGATTTAACAAATAGGAACCTAATTTTCATGAATTATATCATTTTATCATAACATATTTATTAAACCAAAAGACAGTCTTATATTAACAAACAATGCATTCTAGTTTTTCCTAATAAATTATGCAAATGAGGTCCTGATTTGAATAAATTATGTTTAATGATGTTCACCTCAACTTAACTTTCAAATACCACAAGTATGAAATTCCAGGCAGTTATCATTACATAATTATAAAATTTTCTCATTAATTATGCAAATTAAGTCATTATTAACATAATCAATATCTGCCTGTGTTTCTCTCGTTGTCAATTACCAATGTCACAAGCTTCAATTGTCCTATCATGGAATGCAGCTGATCTATAGAATTTCCCCATAAATTATGCAAATTACATCCATATTTGCATAATTGTCACAAAATTATATTAAGCATCACGTAAGCTACCTACATACCAAAAATCATGACGATCCGTCAACCGGTTCTTGAGTTATCCCCTTTTGAATATTTTCAAGAATATATCACTGCAGTTACAGAGCAAGCCGCTAGGGGGCCCAAACTCACATCACTTCTTTCCCAGCACAAGAGCTACCTACCATCCAAATTTCATCACCATAGCATGTCTAGATCATGAGATATCAAAACCAGAAGTTCAGCTGCAGTACTATAACAAGCCGCTAGGGGGTCCAAAATCTAATCATTTTGAGGTCTCATCAAGACCTACCCACCTACCAAGTATCAAGACAATCCATCAAGGCCTTCTCAAGTTATCGTGTTTACAGACACACACACACACACACATACACGAACGCCTCTGAAAACATAACCTTCTTGGCGAAGGTAATTAAACAAAAACGTTCTGCATCATCTGCAGCCCAATAGCAATACGTATAAAGAATCACAGACCAATCCGTCCAGCCGATCGCGAGAAACAGCTGCTGACAGAAATGTTTCGAACCATAGTAAAACCTCCTCGCGGAAGGATATCTCCTTCCCCGGAGGTAAAGATCGCAAATGTGGAAATGCGATGAAAACTTTGTGACAATAGGAAGACACCAGACTCTATTCCAGCCCTATTGACCCCAATATAAACTGTGAGCAAAACTAGGTGAAACAGACCTAAGGTATTCCATTCCACCTGTCTTAACCTGGATACCTGTCTGTTCTCAGGCTCCAGGTAAACATCAGGTAAACACAGACAGGTAACAGTAGCACCTACTGACGTCAAACACCTGAAGTAGTGCCATAACAGGATTTCTGGCTGTCGTTTTGTTACATTTATCACATAGCTGAGATAGGTTTAGTTCCTTGAGGTTATTTTTGGAACATGGGAAAATGATCTAATCATATGTCAATGAAGGTTAGACATCCAGGTAATACTATACGCCAAAAAGCAGTTACTCAAGCAACTGGATATGATTCTAATCATAGATTCTAACACACATCAGTTACTGTGCATCACTTTATCATTCAAAATGTCAACATTTCAGACATGTTTAAAGTTAAAACTTTTGGTCCAACAAAAAAAGTTGGCCTAGAGCTTCACTGGGCCAGTCTACTGACTGAGGAAGACCAGAGTGACTGGTCGAAAGCTCTAGGTGAGAAAACGTTTCATGTTGGACCAAAATTTTAAACTTTAAACATGAAACTACAATGTACCAACACAGATGAACTTTCAAGACAATATTTCAGACAGTTTGTTTAAAAAAAACTTTACGATCATCTTGGAAATTTCAATTCTTGAAGGAATCCCACAGTTTCGCAAAAGAAGAAAAGTATATATATAAACATGCACTAACAGGTAGCCTGGTAGAAGCTAGGTAAAAAATACTAAATATACATACAGAAACGAAATGATAACAGATTATAATTACATAAACTTTAAGAAATTCCAATCCCATTTGGTCATCCTGTTATTAAGTGCCAACAAACTGCCTAATTAATGAGTACGTGCCTTGGGCAGGGATTATTAACACACACCACACAGGAAGGTCGTTATATCATAAATCATAACTGTCTGACGTTCACCTCTGACCTACAGTCCACAAATTACATCTTCTTCTAGCAAAAACATGGCTTTAAAACTAGTATCAAAGCAAATAACTGCCAGTGGGGGGGCAGTTTTCCTTAGTACTGAACCTATTTTGTAGACAATTCTTAAATACATGTACGTCAATGAAGGTTAGACATCCAGGTAATACGATATGCCAAAAAGCAGTTACTCAAGCAACTGGATATGATTTTGAAAACGTCAGACGTTTCAGAGACCAGAGGGGAAATGCAGGTTTATAAGCACAAACTATTGATTGATATGCAAATAAAGTGAATTCCTTAATACATGTATTGCAGAGTGTGCACACAGAACTACTAGTGTACTAGAAAGATTGCGGATTTTTGAAAGCCGAGAATTAAAAAGAAGAAACACGTCAACGAAGGACTCAATGATAGTATAGCCTTAGTATAGCCTTATGTTTGTTCATTTGTAAACAATTTGTTGTGTAGCATTTCTTTGAATTTCTCACAGTGTAACAATGTTAACTATGATACTCTAGCAACTATTTTTTGACACGGTCATAGTATCTAACTTAATTTATAAAAAGATTGGTAAAAAGTTTGCATGTTATACTGAAGAAATTTCGTGGAGTTAAAGACTTTCAACTGTTCCCAAAGAATGAGAAACTTGGTTACCACGCCTTCTCACAGAATATGACCTATAAGAAGTTCAACCAAAAAAAACAAAAGTTAGAACTGTTACAGACGATATGTTCTACTTGAAAGAAACAAAATGTAAAAACGTGCAAGAAATTTTTCATCTTATGCAGTAACTGAACAAATCTCATGGAGTTAAGAACTCCAACTCCCTAAAAAGAATGAGAAACTTGTTTACCACACCTTCTCACAGAATATGACCTATAAGAAGTTCAACCAAAAGTTAAAACTGTCACAGACGATATGTTCTACTTGAAAAAAAGGGTCGAACTCTTGCCCCACACGTACGGAAACGCGCCATATAAGGAGACTGTCCTGAGATGCCGTTTTACCAAAAGTTAGACCTGTCACCACGGATTAAATCTGCTGTCCGAGACACTGCGATTTTTCTCACACCTGTGGCCACACCTGCAAGTCGGCCTACAAGAGGTGACCCACCTGTGACCCTGACACCCACCCATCTATCACAACCTCACTTTTCACACAGGTAAGAACAACACACCTGGCACAGGTACGCACCCCTGGTCGGATCAGGCACACACGGTGGCACCTACAGGGTGTCATTACGCCCTAATGTGGCTTAATTTGGAAACTTGATAGTTGTAAAGCGAGAGGTTAGGCCTTGGAACACATGGGGCTTGTTGTAAGGGACTTGTAGGACAAGCCGGTACACATGCATGATTGTACATGACTGTACATGTATATGGTTCTGGGGAATCATGATATATATATTCTGTGTACTATGTAGTTTGCCGCATACATATATTTTGTAAGTAGGATGACTTTATCCATACATATTATTTAGCTTTGTTAGATCTTCAGTTGTATTAGACTATACCAAAGTCCCTGACTGTGTACTAAATTTGTTGAGTCAATAGAGAATCTTTCTATAATCTATAATGTAAGGTGAATGTTAGAAACAAGAACTTTTTCACCCTATTTTTTTTTATTAAAGGATACCTAAATATGAAACACTTTTCCACAATTGTCATGATATGAGAACTGGACTGGTACATGTATCAATACAGTCATCATCTGTTCTCTATTTAATTTTTTTGGTCTATGACATTATGATAATAATTATCATAATTACAGTTTCAATATAGTTTCAAGAAACA